CACACCCTAGCAGAAACCTAAAGGTGTTCCCTTTATAAATCAAATAAATCAAGTGACTCATATGTTGGAGAATTATCAAAAAGCGCAAAACTGCAATCTAAGTAGAGAAAGCTGCTTAAGTCAGTGGTAGTTCCCAATGGAAAATTACTTTCCCCTAAAATCACTTTGAGGACTCAAAAAACCAAAACAAAAAACCATATCTGGGCCTCCTCATAAACCTACTGAATTTTAATGTCTGAGCGTCGGATCCAGACAATTAAATGCTGAAAATGTTTCTAAAGTAACTCCAATTAGCTCTAGGCTAAGAATCACTAATAACCATCTGAGTCATGAGATAGAGTTTTCCCACTTCCAAAGTAGCATTAATCTGCTTGTTTCTCGGTAAAAAGAGGAAGTAGATGGTCAGTGTGGCTCCCACACTGCTAGACCTCTTGCTGATACTACATAACCACAACCGCCAATATTTGTCTCTTAATTTATGCGATGAAGAACTAAGCATTAGTTATGCTCGGTGTGGTCAGCCATATTAAAACCTGGACATAGTATCTAAAGAATACTCACACACACATCCAAGTGGTAGCTTTTTAGCCATCATTCCTTTCTCCCAGTTCCTCAATCTCAAAACCTCTGCTCTCCTTTTTCTATGCCGAGCTTTGAAAGCTTCCCAAGTGCCTCCTCAATTAGTTAATGACTATGGACCCAGAGAGGTTAAGTGACTTATGCAAGGTCACTCAGCTGAACACTAGTAAAGCCAGCACTTGAGTGACCCTTTGACTTCAGCCCAATGCTCTTCCTGGTGCTTATCTTCTCCCTAAACTTCAGTTTGAGACTGTCTCCCTCCCTGGCCCCTACAAGCAGGACTGACCTCATGGACTTGCAACTTATGCACCTGTACATGGATCCAAGCTTAAAAAGGTCCACATTTGGTTTAATGCTTTGCTGTTGCTGTTTTGAAATTCCTAATAATTTTGCTCTGGTAGCATAGTCACTAAGTCACTTGCCTGCTAACCAGAAGGCTGACGGTTCAAACCCACCAGCCACTCCTCGGAAGGAAGGTTGGGCAATCCTACTTCCGTAGTGATACTGCCTTGGAAACCCAAGGAGGGGTCGCTATGAGTCGGGGCCGATTCGATGGCACATAACAACAACAACAACAACAACAATAATTTTGCACTGGGGCCTACAAATTACATAGCTGATTCTGTGTACAAGTAAAGGAGTCCCTGGTCCTTGAGATAGGGTGGTCATCCACCTAGGAAGTTGGAGGAAGAATAGACTGCCATTTAGTTTTCAGAGACAGAGTCAGCCTCAGCTCTGACCACCACTGTCTCTAAGATCTCACCTCAATCTTCAATTCCTACCTGGACAGACTTTTATGAAAAGCTTTATTCTCTAAGTATGTATTAATTGAAGTATCATTTCAATTATCCTCTTTTTCTTTTAACTTTTTATAGTGATATGGGTGAAAGTTTGCAGAGCAAATTGGCTTCCATTCAATAATTTGTACACACTTTCCAGAACAGGAAAAGGGGTAAAAACAAAACAAAACAGAATTGTCAAAGATTTGCTAGTAATAAATTCCCTATTATCATGAAAGATGAAAAAATATCCATCCAAGAAGCTCAAACAAAAGTTATACAGAATAGACCTCAAACAAAGTCATGAAGGCGTATCATAATCCAAAACCAAAAGACAAAGACAAAGAAAGAATCTTTAATTATCCTTTGATCCTTACTGGAAGCCAAAGTAATTATATTTCTGTTTAACTCAGTATCTGCTAATAGATATGGTGATTAATTACAGCATGTCAACAAATTCTCTTTTCTTCATACTAGATCATTTTCTAGAAATCAATACTTTCAAACTTTTTATTAATGTAGCAACTAGCATCCACTTGTACTTTGAGTGGCTTTACAAACAATTCAAGTCTTGGAAAATTCTTCCAAACAAATCTTAGGCCAATTTTTCCTGTTTCTCTTGAGTTTATAATGGTAGTATTATTTTCACCTGTTTAATTTTGCTTAATTGTCTTATCTGACATAGTGAGATGATCCAGTTTTGTTATTCAAGTCTTGTTTTTAATTAACTAAGGTAAAACTGCCTTGGAAACCCAAGGAGGGGTCGCTATGAGTTGGGTCTGACTTGACGGCAAATAACAACAACAACAACAACAACAAGGTAAAATAGTTATACACCATGTAATGTCCATTCAGGCAATATCTGACCACATATACATTCAAGATCCCATAAGGTTACCACACAGTTCAGAAATCCCAGTTGAAGAATGGGAGGTAGTGAACACAAGTTTCCTGCACAAAACATGTGTATCGCAGGTCTCTTGTAAACAAAGTAATTATGCTGCCAGGTATATAATGGTACAGTATATATATATATATATATAGAGAGAGAGAGAGAGAGAGAGAGCCTATACTACATATATCTTAATAGTCATAATAAATGCTTATGTTATGTACTGTACTGTACTTTGTATCTAAAAGTTTACCATATAACAGCATATGCATCAACTCTTAGGCAGCAGGACTCAATCTTGTATATCACACATGTGTTGTAGTGTTCTCTCTCTTGAGTGTTGTAGCATTATCTCTCTGTTTAATTTTCTTCCAAATATAGTACCATGAAGTACATCATGGCTCCCAAATGTATCAAAATCAGTGCTAGTGCTAGCAGCAGCAAGAGGCAAAGGAGAAGTATCAGTTTGGAAGTGAAACAGAAGGTTATTAAACAACATGAAGGTGGAAAATTAGTGAATGTTATTTTTCATGATTTAGTCATGTCACACTTGACCATCACAATGATTCTCAAAACCAAAGAAAAAAATTTCCAAGCTTTTAAAAAATTGACTCCACTGAAAGCTAGAGGACTAACAAAAGTGTAAGAGGGATCTATATCAGATATGAAGAATTGCTAATGACGTGGATTGATGACCAAATACAAAAGCAATTCTCTGTCAGTGCGTTGACAATCACTGCTAAGGCAAGAAGCTTATTTAAGATGCTTAAAGAAAAAGCAGGACCATGATCTGAATTCCCAGGTATATAGTAGAGCTGACAAGGGACAAAGCTGTACTCATTTCTTGGTCACAGCAGCTACCCAGAGGGAATGAGTAGTTGAACCTATGGGCTCAGGACCATAGTCACAGGGGACATCAAGCTCAATTGGCATAACATACTACACAAAACATTGTTCCATCTCCTACTTTGGCGAGTAGTGACTGGGATCTTAAAAGCTTGCAAGCTGCCATCTAGATGCAACAGTGGGTCTCTCCTCATCCAGAGCAAAGAAGAATGAAGAAAATCAAAGATTCATGGAAACAAGTAGTTCTAGTGACTGGTACACCATGCAATCCACAGCCTATACAACTATGAGACCAGAAGAAGTAGATGGTGCCCAGCTACCAATGTCAACCACTTAGAGGGGGATCTATGTAGGAGACTCTGGGTAGAGAGGGAGAACTATGTGGAACAAAACTCAAAAGCATTTGGAAATAAAAAGGGGGGGAGGACCAGGTTTGCTGGTCTGATAGAGCCTTGTGGAACCACTGAGACTATGGTCCCTAGCTGCCCTTCAGGTCTGGAAATGAATCCACACCCATGGCTTCCAGCCAAACAAAAGATAGGCATAGGAGTTGAACATTTACCTGAGGAAAATACACTCCTTGGAGAGAACAATCATGGAAGAAAGAAGGGCTATTTATGCACAGGGAGACAGCTCAGGGGGCATGGGTGCATGGAGGGATGGACACGGGGAAGAGGTGACTATTGGGAGGAAGTGGGAGGGGAGCTGTTGCATTGTGGTGAATTATGATCAATGTCATGAGACAAAGTGTTTGTGAACTGCTGTATGGAAAGTGAATTTGCTCTGTAAATTTTTACCCGAATCACAATTAAAAAAAAAAAAAAAAAAAGAAAGGAAAAGCAGGACCAGACTACAATATGGTGTTCACACAATGTCTAAATTACACATATCCTATTCTACAGAACATATTGTGGACGTTAAGGAACACTTGACTGGACATCAATGAGAAGCAAATCATTTTTTTTTTTTTTTAAAAAAAAGACATCTCCTTTAGGATCCAGGAGATACAACATAGTAAAAGGAAAGAATTGGCAATGCATTTTATTTTAAGCACATTTTCATGAACTCATTTCAGAGCTGAAAAAATACATTACAAATCACCAGATTCAATGTCCTTGTTTTCCCAGTGAGAATAACTAGCTGCTATAGAGTTTATTCCAACGTATGGTGATCTCACATGTGTCAGACTAGAACTGAGCTCCATAGGGTTTTTCAATGGCTGACTTTGCAGAAGTTTATCTCTAGGTCTTCCTTCTAAGGACCTCTGGGTGCACTTGAACCTCTAACCTTTTGTTTAGCAGCCAAATGCATTAACCATTTGCAGCACTCAGGGTCTCACAGTAAGAGACTTTAATTTGCTCAAAAATCACAGCAAGTGCATGCAGGGCCTCTGACCTCATCTAGGTCACTGTGTTAGCACATTTGTCTTAAATAGGTCCAAGTAATTTAAGCTAACGATCACTAAATATTACTGTACTGGTCAGTCTATGACTTTAGAAACTGAAATGGCATGTGCTTTTAACAATAAAAAGGAAATTAATGATCTCTGGTATTCTCTTTGGGGCCCGGGTGGCACAGTGGTTAAGTGCTTGCCTACTATATGAAAGGTCAGAGGTTCGAATCCACCAGCTGCTCTGCAGGAAAAAGATGTAGTAATCTGCTTCCATAAAGATTTTTTTTTTTTTAAATTACCCTCATGTACCTTGCACAGCCACTTCTCAGAAGGAAGATAGGGCAATCTACTTCCTTAGTGATACCACCTTGGAAACCCAAGGAGGGGTTGCTATGAGTCAGATTCGACTTGATGGCAGTGAGTTTGTCTGTTTTCTTGCATAGTTCTAAGGATGCAGCAAATGTAATTAAATGATTACTTTATAAGGAAAGGCATAAATTTATCCACTTACTTGCAAGCAAGCCAACTCCACTTGCAAGGGATCCAACCCAGGCTGTTTTTCCTTTCCCTTCACCAAAAGCATCCAACCATTCTACGTACAAGACTCCAACAGCTAACGGGGATCCATAACACAAAAATTGAGTGAAGAAGGAGACAAACACAATCACCCAGCCCCATCCACCATCAGGTGACTTTTTAAATTCCATTGTAAGATGAAATCAAAGAGGTGTCTCTCCTTAGGTCCTAGACAAAAACAAACAGAAGAAAAACAGTAAGATGTTGTGGAGCATAGTATTTTGAGTTAAAAATGTTTTCACCTAAATTTTTTTAAAAATGGTTCTTTAAAAACATACATGGAAAATCATAAATTAACACTGATATATCAAATTAACTTTTATTTATTTGTTTAGTAAATAATACATTTACATGGTTCAAAATTATTTTTAATTATATAAAGGTATGTAGTGAAAAGTTTCCTTCCCAATCTTGTCCTCACCCATCAAACTCCCATCCCATTCAACCATAGGAAATCACTGTTTTTAGTTTATTGTCACACACTGGGTTCTTCAGGAAGCAGACACATGATGGAGGTTTATTAGGAGTTCTCTTGGTCATCAATGGAGTCCAGGGATGGTGCAAATGTTAATGCACTCCCCAGTTAACAAAACTGTTGATGGTTTGAGTCTACTCAGAGGTACCTCAAAACAAAGGTCTGGTGATACATTTCTGAAAAGTCAGCCCTTGAAACCCTATGGAACAGAGTTCTACTCTGACACACATGGGGTCAACTTGAGTTAGAGTTGACTCAAAGTCAACTGGTTTTAGGGGGTCAACACCTGTGAAAGAGGAAAGAAGCTTAAGGGAGTAAAGAGAAGTTAAGCTATGATACAGTCTTGAAAAGGGAGATTTCTGAAGCTGAATGACCCTTTAGAGTTATAACCAATTGGGTTGGGGACAGGGCCCTTCAAACTCATATTGAGCATTCACTAATTGTGGGTTACCCCAGGAATGGGCGTGACCTAAGGCAAGGTGGCTCTCTTCAAATGGGCAGTCTAGTTCCACCTGGGGCTGTTAGCTGTGGTCATCTGCCAACAGCACTGCCAGCAGATAAGGCAACAAATTTGTCATTCCTAAAGAGAGCCTGAGGGAGAAGTGGTGCCACATCACGTTCCCATATGAGTATCCTTCCAGAATGTCTTTACACTTGTACAACCAAATCAAATAAATATTCTGAGATTTCCCTCTTTTTCAACAATTGATAGCATACTGTACATTCTATTCTATACCTTGGTTAACATGTACCACTTAACATGTTCGGAGATTTTTATTTCTATCAATACATAGAGAGTATCCTTAGTCTTTTTTCGCATGATACAATATGGCCGCATACTTGTTTGTTTATTAAATAGGCAAAACATTGATATGATTCAATAATGAAAAAAGTGACAAAGAAGTATGCTGTTTCCCATCTACTTATTTCCCACCAGCAATCCTCCACAGGTAACCAATTCTACTTCTTTTATATCTTTCTGAGTGCAGTTCTACTTTGGAACACTTGGGATCACCATGAATCAAAATCCACTCCTCAGAAACTGACAACAACAGCAGTTTCTTTAAGAGTCCTGGGTGGCACACACAGTCAAATGTTTGAGTACTAACCAAAAGGTTTGAATTCATGTAGAGACACCTGGGAAGAAAGAAAGGCCTGGTGATTTGCTGCCAAAAGGGCATAGCCTTGAAAACCCTATGGAGCGTAATTCCACTTTGCAATGCACAGGGTCACCATGGGTCGGAATTTACTCAATAGCAACTGGTTTTTGTTTTTGGCTACTTTCTTTATGCATACAAAAGCAAATCCAAATATGGCTTTCCTCCCAATTTTTTTTTTAACATGAAAAGTAGTGGATAATACACATTAGCATTGCCTTGTTTTTGTTTTCCATTTTACAATATATCTTTCATATCAATATATAGTGACCTTTCTTCCTTTCTAATCTGGCATTGCATTCCAATATAGTTTTGCTTTTAATTTGTTTAACCAGCCTCCTGTGGCTTAGAATGAAAAACAATGCTACAGTGAATATCTTGTTGATGCATACATATTTTTGCATATATGCAAATCTGTTAGGTGAAACTCAAAAGTGGAATTGCAGAGTCAAAGGGTATGTATATTTACAGTGATGTCACTAGGGAGGTGCAGGAAGGTGCAGGGAGGTGGAGGTTGTGGACTGAACTGGATGACACTGTCAGAGGCAGTACCACCAATATGGTACTTTTTATAAAAATATCCCTGTAGTTATTTATAAGGAGTCCTGGTGGTACAGTGCTTAAGGTATTTGGCTGCTAACCAAAAGGTTGGAGGTTCAAACCTACCAGCCATTGTGTGAGAAAGACAAGATAGTCTGCTTCCCTAAAGATTTACAA